TTAATTAATTAATTATTTATCCTTATTTACCATCCACCTTATTTAACATAAGCTCTGTTTCTATATGTGTGTACAAGAGGCATGTACAGTACATCTGTGTCTCAGAGAGTATCATGGGACCCCCTTCTCTCCCCTATCACATTCTCCAAATGATTATACCCAGGGTGAGAGGTGATAATGATTATTAAGCCTTATTAATAATCGTAATTGGGAGTGAAAATATTCAGATTTACATCTGTTAGGGGTGTGTTAGAATCTCACCCCCTACATCATCTCTCATTATGGTCATGTAATTGGAAACTATCATTTTCTACGGAATACAAAACTATGAATGATGAAGTCTATTAGGCCTAAATTATTCAAGCCATAAATTGAAAATAAATCTCTTTTGCAAAGCATATGAAAAGAGACTCATAGCAGGAATAAAAAAGGATTTATTTCTTAGCGACAAAGACTGCTTTTAAACTCTGCATTAAGTCCCTTGAGTGTATCGCCGAGCTTTATTAGAGAAAAATAATAAAATAAAAAGTGGCAGCTCAAAATATTCATGCTATTCAAGAGTGTTCATTACTGCATGGCACAGACATCAAAGGAAAAGCCCTGGCCGTAGATCCGCTGAACCTTCAACACAGCATAACCAATCCCCCTTCTGCCATACTTCAGTATTCATGCTTTTCACACACTGAGTGCTTAGGTGGTTTTATGTCAGAGTAAACTCATATCAAAGTAGAGGTTCTCAACCATCGAAATGATTCATCTGACTTCAGATTGGCTCGAGATGACTTTAAACTACAGCCGTAGTGCTGCTGGTAACAGAGTAACTATTAAAGCGCCAGTAAATATGATGTAAAAAAGGAAACTTCACTGTCCATGCAGTGAAATTAGATCATTCAAGACGCTTCTATGGGCCTGTAAAAGTAATATGGCCAAGAAAATGGATCTCGCTACAGATCTTCTTAATTTCAATTGACTGAAGTGAGCTGAAAAGGTGGGATTGAAGGAAAGAGGGAGGGGGGAAAGCAAGGGAGAGTGAAAGAGAGCGAGACGGAGATTTCGCACCGTGACTTCCTTCATTCAGTGAAGATCAAAGGTAACATGATTCCTTTTCTTCTGGCGGATCAGAGGTTTTTAATGTGTCTGCTCCTCTCTAAAGTGGTGTCTTGCTGAACTGGATACGACAGGTCAGAGCATCACACCCTTCGCTAACCTCAGTGAACATTTCCTCCTGTCAGAAACAGTTTATATATTAGGAAATGTACAACATCACATATTATGGACAATTTGCATAACTCTCAGGGTTTGAGGAAACCCCAGCATCATTTTAATAGCCCAAAAAACATTGCACTGAATTATTAGGTTGATACTTTATGATATTTTTTTTATCATAGTTAAAATGAATAAACAAAATTTAAACTGTGTAACATTTAAATATGCTAGGTGTACATACTGTAGGAGTCAGACAGTTATTTGCTTTGATATCTTTTGTTGTATTTCTGTACAGCAGTGGTTCTCAATCAGGGCTTAGCAGACTTACAAAGGAGCCTCAAAATTACTTAAAATAAGATATAAAAAAAAAACATTAAAATAAGTTAAAACTAAAAATCAAGTTAATACTTTTCACCCCCTCAGCAATTGTTTGTTAAAACAGAATTCTCACAGTCATAAGACATGCAAATTATTAAAATGGTAAAATTCCAGATGCATTTTTATAATTAAAACATATTTTTTCTTGTTTTCCAAGCTCTAAAATATTTTATCAACTAGCAGAATTTCTTTTGGTTTCCATGTCAGAAAGAAAGTGATACAGTAGAGGTTTGGAACAACACGAAGGTGAGTAAATGACGCCTGAATGTTCATTTTGGGGTGAAGTATCCCTTCAAGCCTGTAAAACTTAGTCAAACAGTCATAAAGAGACGCTCTATCCTCTTTGAGAGTCAGATTTGTTGGCAGTCTGTCCCTCCGGCGCTGACGTAAGAGAAGATCTCAGAGGAGCTCTCCGTGGTGCTGATATTTCCGCTCAAGCGTGGGGCTCTTCTCTGCTACAGGCTTTTCAGAGCCAGCTGGATAACCAGACAACATGCCGGGTCACTTGGTCCCCCTCCCCCCTTCTCTCTTCCTCTCTGCTCTTCACAGGCATGAGGAAGCACTAGAGTCAGACTCTTGGCTCTCCATTAGCCGGCAGACAAATATAGAGCCAAAGTGTCCAACAGAATGGGGAAAGAGACATTGCCAGTTAGTTTTGGCAGGGACCCGATTCACCACTTCAGCAAGATTACACACTGTGCTGAAAATGGCAAGAGATTAAAAAAACAAGCACTTGGTGAGAAAGAGAGAGAGAAGATAAGAATAATAAGCATGGCTACAAAAATTGTAATCAGCATGGTGATTATAGGTCAAAGGTGCAATCAGTAATTTTTCCTACTTAAAATAAAAATAATAATAATTTAATAGTACTTTTGCTCACATGTATGCAATGCATTGCTGCCACACGCATATTATTTTTGTCCACTCAATTATGTCGGAATGACGAGATGTTATGGCATTAAAACAAATTTTATCTTTGTTATCAGACAATTTTGCTCATGATCATGATCAACTGATCATGGCTGATTATAGCACCGAATGGCATTTTAACAACACTGGTAACAGAAAACTTTATACTGCATCCCCGCCACTAAGAATTGAAAACCGTGATGCGTCCAATAAGATTGATTGATTGATTATTTTAAATAAATAAATACATAAAAGTGCTTCTGTGAAAATCATCTGAATGTTTTTTCCCCACCATTTTAAGTGCTCTTGCAGTGAGACAAATACATATAAACATTAAAAAAATAGTAACTGGAATAAAATAAAAATGAATAAAAATATTAAATGAACAAATAAAAAAACAAACAAACAGGTAATAAACAGGATTTAAACTAGTTTTAGATGGAGTTTAGCATGTTTCCAGCTTTCTATCATATTTACCTTCACTATTTCATTTTAAGTGCTCCTGCTGTTTTACTAATACTACTACTACCACTACTACTAATAATAATAATTAGAAATATTAATACTATTAACATTTGGTTGTAAAGGCTGACAGCAAAACTACTTAAGTGTAAATGAACATTTAAAGAAAAAATGAATAAAAATTGTTTAAAAAAAGAAAGGAAAAAAACTATTATTAAGTGGTGTTTAAAATAGTTTTACATGGAGTTTAGTATGTTTCCACTATTCTATTCCACAATTTTTAATCATATTTGCCTTCACTAATTAATCTTAAGTGCTAATAATAATAACAATAATATTAATTATTATTATTATTACTATTATTATTATTATTACTAATGTGGTCATACAAATCAATATAGCAAAAGAATTAATTTAAATTTATTTTTAAATTCAATTCATTTTGGTAACACTTTAGAATAGGGAACACATATCCACTATTAACTAAGAGTTTTCCCTGAACAAACTCCTAATTTGCTGCTTATTAATAGTCAGTAAGGTAGTTGTTAAGTTTAGGTATGGGGGTGGATTAAGGGATCTAACATTTTTGGAAAATTGATGTACTGCAGTGTCACATGCTAAACTCCATCTAAAACCATTTTAAATGGCATTTACTATTTATTGTATATATTATGGTGTTATTTTATTTTATTTTTCATTTTTAAAATTAAGGTAACACTTTATTTTAAGGATTAATTCTCGCTATTAATGAGTTGCTTATTAGTATGCATATCACTAGCATATTGGCTGTGTATTAGTAATTACAAAGCTCATATTGATGCATTATTCTGCATGACCGTTAGATGGAGTTTAGCATGTGACACTGCAGTACATCAATTTTCCAAAAGTTTGTGCCAAGATCCCAAATGCCGATTCTATAAATAGCTACTTACATTAGACACGTATTTCATCAAGAGAAAACAGAGACATACCCACAACCATATGTCTACACATATAGCATACATTATAGGTCAGATAAAGGTTGGCACATGGCGAGGCTCTCATAAGGCGAGGGCTGGCACAGTGACATCAGATCTGCAGTATGGTCCCTAATCTGTGGGATCAGTAAAATCACGGAAATGAGAGGCATCACACTGCAGTAATCTCCTGCATCAGGAAAACTGTGTGTGCGTGTGAAAGAAAGAGATGAGAGAGGCTGTAGAGGCCGGGAAAACAGAACCAGCCACTATCAACCAACTATTCAAACCAAGTGTAATTGCACAGGATTACTGGCACTGAAATAAACCCATGTTCATCCTGCATGAGAAGAACCCAGACACCAGACTGATGAAAAGAGACAGAAAGCTCTATTAAATAGAGACTTGAAAGGGAAAAGATACATGGAAGATGACAATGAATCAGCAAGGATGGAAACAAGTGGACAAAATAATGATGTTGAAAAGAAAACAACATTATTCTGATGTTCCGTTGTATATTTCAAACCCACAGTAGCCTCAAAGATCCCAAAGCCTCTCAAAAAATATACTTAAAGTCAAGATGAAATCAAAATCTTATCTAGTCTTATTGTGAAAGATTCATCTGTGCATGTTATTCCAAAGAAAAATCTTTGTAATCTGTAATCTTTAATCAAATTCTAATCTAAATCAAACTATAATAAGACTCCGGAATACTTCACATCTTGGACGTAAAATAGACTCATCAAACTGCAATTCATATAAATTATATTTTGACTTTTACAAATCGCATGACTTATTATAAACAAAATTTCAACTTGCATCAAACATCGAAAACAACGCATGCCCTCTATTGAAAGTCTAATGTGTAAAACATGAATACATTTTATGTATTTATACATACTAACATTTTCTGAAATACAGCTAAATAAAAAATAAATAAAATATTTAGTAAATGGCAACAAAAATGTTTCAGATGGAGTTCAGCATGTGAGATTTTCTGATAAACAAATGCCAACTGTTCAGTTAGAGTTGTTATACTGTTTTGTGTTAAATAAATAAAAAACAACAACAATGCATCTGCATATTTTTCAATGGAAACCTTTTATTTCACCATGACACAATAGTGCACCGAGCCATTGAAGGAAACAAAACATCAATTTGACAAGAGGTGCAACATAAAACATCAAAGTAAAGACAGAATTCAAAAGACGTAAGAAACAAACACTAAATAAACTATTCACAACATCAAGATCATATTTTCCCAGAAAGGGAGCGGAACAACCATTAATACTGAAAGAAGTAAACACTGTAAGGTCATTTACAAAGGATTTGACCATGTCTGCAGTCTGTTGAACCCATCAAGCACAAAACACTGCAATCACTGACAAGTTAACCTTTATTTTTCAACATAGTTTTGATACTGAAACCTGAAAATCAAATGGAATTCGCAAAACTTGAACTCTTTATCTGAATATTGCATCATGGTTTCCGATGATAATTGATAAACGACAAATAAACATCTTATCAAATGCATCAAGCAAATCTGAAACACCGTTCAAAGCTAAAACGACTGGTTGCTTTATCTTTTGTTATGTATGACTGCGCTATCTGTATATTGTTTATGTTATAATACATGTGAGGATTTGGTATAAAATGATCTTCTGAAGGGGATGAAACTGTACAGAGAGCCGAGGCAAAGAGGGGGGAAGTAAAACAGACAGCGAGAAAAAGAAAACTAGTCAGACATTTTGTCTTTGAATAGGACTAGAGGCACAAAGGGTCCACAGAGCAACAGATGTGACCATTCTGTAGAGAAAAAGAGAGGGAGGGAGGGAAGGAAATGGAAGGAGACATTAGTCAAAAAAGGAAAGTAGCCAATTTGACACTCACTCAAGCATTTCCATACTGTATGTGTGTAACGCATTAAATAAGCATCAGTACAGCGTCTCATGATTCATCGCTCAGCTCAAATGATGCTGATGACCTTGGCCAGTCACATAAGGTGCTTTAATAAGTTGATGAATTCTCTCCTGTCCCTGAGATCTGTTCTTTATTCCTGCATTCATCTAATTCATCTCACACAGACAAATCTCACAGCATCCGGGACCATTTTCTGTGTACTGTCCATGTTTCTTAGCTATTTATCTATAAATGACTTGGCACATCATTTAGAGAGGTGTCCAAATGTCAGACCACTAGTGAAAATATATCTTATTTATTTATTATGAAATTCAGTTATTAATATATATATATTTTTTTTATTACAATGTATATTTTATAAGAAGCCCCAATCATGGCATGCTAAAAAAATATGTATAGAAGCCCATTTCTCCAATAGAATTTAAAAAAGTTAATTGTGACTTCAAGCTTTTTTTCTCACAGTTCACAGAGTTTATATTAAAAATCAGAATTGTAATATATAAACTCAGAATTGCGAGATATAGAAAAAAAGGTCCAAATTGTAAGCTAAAAATTCGCAAATACATTTTTATAATTTTTTATTCAGTGGCAGGAAAAAAATGTGCTATGTAAACTGAGTTCTGAAAAAAAAAATGCAAGATGTGAATTTGGAACTGCAAGAAAGTCATTATATCTCACAATTCTGAGTTTATATCTTAAAATTCTAAAACTCAGAACAGTGAGGAAAAACATTATGAATTATGAGATCAAGTCACAATTACCTTTATTTTATTCCATGGCAGAAAGGGGATTCTATACATAACTTTTTAATTGTCATGAGTGGGACTTCATAGAAAATATAAATTGTAATGAATAACACAATAATTTCATAATTTATAAATTAACAAGATGTATTTTCACAACTGTGCTCAACTGCAAGTTTTTATCTCACAATCCAGTATTTTTTTTTCTCACAACAGAATTTTACATCTCAGAATTTACAGAATTTTACATCTCACAGTCAGAACTGCGAGTTATAAACTCAGAAACACGAGTTAACATCTTGCAATTTTGACTTTTTCCCTGCAATTCTGAGAAAAAAAAGAATGCAAGAAATAAACTCAGAATTGTGATATATAAATGCAGAATTGTGAGAAAAAAGGTCGCAATTAATACAAAAATAAAATAAAAAAATCCCATGGTGGAAACAAGCTTCTATAATGATTTAGTTTAGTTTTATGTAATTTAATTCTAAGACAAGAAAACACAAAGTATAGTGTTATAAATGTGTATTAAATTTTTAAATAAAAATGTCAGAACTGCGAGTTATAAACTCAGAAACACGAGTTAACATCTTGCAATTTTGACTTTTTCCCTGCAATTCTGAGAAAAAAAAGAATGCAAGAAATAAACTCAGAATTGTGATATATAAATGCAGAATTGTGAGAAAAAAGGTCGCAATTAATACAAAAATAAAATAAAAAAATCCCATGGTGGAAACAAGCTTCTATAATGATTTAGTTTAGTTTTATGTCATTTAATTCTAAGACAAGAAAACACAAAGTATAGTGTTATAAATGTGTATTAAATTTTTAAATAAAAATATAAAAAACTTGATTTACAATGCTAATAACCATGGAAACATGTCATCAAAGTCTGTGAAAAAGATCCATTAATGCTAACTTATCATAAAGTTCCTTTGATTTCTTTGATCTTAGTTTTTTCAAGGTTTTAATTACGTTCTAGATGTCTCTATTCAATGGGGTCTCAGATTTTTGGATCTCAATGTAAGTGTTTTATGAATAATATTTATATGCACCAAAACAATAAAATCAAAGCTGTGACTGGGCGCACCACCAAAAGCCTTTGCCTTTGACTGAATTGGTATTAAAATGTTTAAAAATAAATTAGCCAGATGTCCATGAAACCCTTAGTGGGCCTGTGGAAGCTGCCTTTGTTTTATGTGAAAGGATCCAGCTTAAAAATAATGACAAGCACAGGGGTTAACATCTAAATACGCAATAATAAATCTTGGTGATTTGCAACGTGTGCGTCTGTGGGTGATTATGTAAGTGTCAAGTACCTTGCACTGGCAGAGGGAACACTCAGTGCCGTGTTTGGTCCAAGCAGAGCCGCTGAAGCGAGTGATCCCGTATTCATCCACACAGGTCTTGGAGATGTCATTCCGAACGGTATCGGCCAGACAGGGGTCCGTGATGCAGCGTGGACAGCACTCGCCCTCCGGAACCACTGTAAACTCACAGTCAGCCACCGGCGCACACGATATCGGCCAGCAGTCCACTTCACCCCTCTGAGAAACACACAGACAGAGACATATTTCAATCCGATACAGAATAGAATCAATATTTTCACAATTCCGTTCGGTGAGGCTAGTAGCACATAAATTATACACTTCCACTTTAACATGCTGCAAATCACAAATAGTGTGTTGCGCTCACTGATCCAGAGAGGAGCGTGTAATGAAGGATCGATACGACACTCCTAGGTCAGAGATGGTTTAATATAGTCACACACAGGGCTCTGTTTCCTCCAGCATTCTTTAAAACTTTGTGTAACATCTGCTGGACTGCAGGTGATGTGTCAAAATATATCAGAGCTTTGATCCTTTTTGGATGCTTTCCACAGGTGCAAGGATAAAGTGATGGTGTACTTAGAATGACAAACATAAAAGTGTGTGAAGGTCAGTCTGAATAAACACTGCACGGTAAGTGTGAGTAAGACAGACAGAGAAGAAACACTAGTGTGTGTTTATCTAGGGACAGTATGAGGAGATCATTTGCTTAATATGGTGGCATGAAGTCCCGCCTTTCAGTTAATACTAAGTCACTTTACTTTGTGAGGAATCACATCTTTTTTCACTCTGTAATGTAGTGTAAGTGCATTAGCTGAGAAAAAAAAATGAATGTGTGTGTGTGTTTGTTTGTGTATATAAATATAAATGCATATGGCTGCATTTATTCGATCAAAAACAGCAAAAACAGTAATATATTATTACAATTCAAAATTACTATTTTAGTATATTTTAAGATGCAATTTATTCCTGTGATAATAAAGCTGAATTACATTTTTCATTTTATATTATTATCAATGTTGTAAAAAGTTGTGCTGCTTCATATTTTTGTGGAAACCATGATTTTTGATGATTCGTTGATGAATAGAAAGTTCAAAAGAACAGCATTTATTTGAAATGTAAACCTTTTACCATTATAAGTCTTTACTATCATCTATTTATTGTGTCCTTGCTGAATAAAAGTATTAATTTCTTCCTTGAGTCGAATCATTTGAATGAATCTGTTGATTTACTCTAATGAATCCGCTGTTCTGGTCTAAATAAATCGGTTGCAGATTGGACGAACCCAGTTCTTGACTTCAACTCACTGACTCAATGTAAATGATGGGTTAAATTTTGACTTTTTCAATAGACACTTTTTTGGTTTTGAACTCTTACAGTTGATCTGTGCATTATTAAAATCTTTTCCTTTTGTGTTTCCGAGAAGATACAGGTTCAAAACCACATGAGGGTGAATAAATGATTAATTTTTTGGGTGAACCGACTGCTGAATTTCGCTGCAAGACAACATATTTTTCAGATTACATCCTGACTCAGACTGAGCAGGTTACTTAGACCTTGATTACAAAGAGAATGCAGATATTTCTCTGAATGTCTCTCTCTCCCCTCCTGGAGTTTTCTGTTCCGGAAACGTTCTTTGTTCTTTCACTCCTCACACTTTTGTATTCTTAAAACACAAAGCATTCTTCCTGCCCCATTCTCTCTTTTTCGGTGTCTCTTCCTCTCTTTCAAGTTCTGTGTTCTTTTACTTCACAGGGAACCAGGAAAAAAAAACTGATGAGAAGAGGGAATCGAAGAGTAAAGGGGGTTGAAAACGACTAAAAGAAAGCGCTGACTGAAAGAGAATGTGATAATAACAGTATAAGAACAACATAAAAGAGACAAACAAAAAGCAGCTGTACTGAAACCTAATGAAATTTCAATATGGCCATGCAAAACTGGATCTGTTTGATCATGTTCCTTTCTCGGACACAGATTACACTTTCAATTGAAAGTCAGTTATTGAGCAATTAATCCAGAGCCTGGCTTTAGTATTAGCCTGGAAAACAAGCCTTTCGTTGGTTAAACCATCCACAACTGTCTAGAGGTCTTTAACTGAATTCATTACAGACCTACAAGTTTAGCAGTCCTAAACTCTGAGGAAAAGGTTTCGTTCTCTGAAAAAAAAAAAAACTCTCAGACAAAGAAAATGTAAGCTGGGAGCCTGGCATGTCATATGAAAGTTTAGGAGCCCTGTTTGAACCCATTGTCAGCTCAGCAAATACTGTAGTAAGGATTTTCACTAGAGAGAAAGATAGAGTTAGCTGGACTTTATAATTCAATTCTTCACAGAGTGAAAAATGTTCTGCATGAAGAAAGAAAAATGGCTTCTGGATGAAAGTTCAGGGCTGAACCACAGCACACAGGAGGGAAAAACACCAGAGGGGCTGAAAACTGCATTGTTCAAGGTTTTGGCGCAAGGCTTCCTGACTATATTGCAGAAAGTTCCACTGTGACCAGCAGTTTCTCTGAATCTGAATCTAATAACACAGGGAACAGAATGACAGTGGAGTTTATTCTGAGCGTTGTGCATGTGTGAATGCATACTATTTGCTAAAGTGGACATATTTCATACTTTTGCATCATATTCTTTTCCTCGAGTCCAGTTATAATGGCAGTCAAGGTTGCTTGAACCAAAAAGTTGCAGTTCAGTTTTACGTGACCATTTTCACTCTGACTCTCAGGCTGTTTTTGCCAATGTACTTGTAGAACTATGACAAGTTATGCTATGATTAGCATAGTCCTGCTGAATACTGAAGAGCTGTTGATATATTAATGTGGGTGGTCATTAGTTAAAAGTGCTTTCATTTAATTGATGTTAAAAGTCTTGCAAAAAATTGATTTAAAAATCATTACCAAAACTCCAAAAAATGTTTCTAAATAGTTTTCAAAATATTTTTACTACTACAAACAGATACTATTATTATTATTATTATTATTATTATTACTATTAAATCATTTATATAATATGTTATCACAAATAATAATAATATGCAAAAGTCTGAGAAAACATTAAGTTTTTTATTTAATTGTTTTTAAATTTAGATTTAAAAATGTAGAACAAAGCAAAAGTATGATAAAAATATTTAAGAATGTTTAAATATATTTTATTATTTTTAAAATATACATACTTAATATATATTAATAAAGAAAAATCTTTGACATTTAAAATATAATATATAAAATAATATACAAATGTTACATTTACCTCATATTGAATAATTCAATTATAATTAAATGACATACAAATATAATCATATCCAAAAGTCTGAGAATATTTTAATTTTTAATGACATCTTTTTTATTTAAATGTAGATTTTGAAAAACAAAGAAAAAGTATGATAAGAATTTTAAATATTTTCTTTTATTATTAAAAATATAATATGTATATTATTTAAAATATTTAAAAAATGTGTAAATACTTAAATTCTACATATTTATAATAGATTTGTGACATTTAAAATATATATAAAATAATATAAAATATGACATTTAACAAATTTAATTTGTTGTTGCTTCCATTAAAATACACAAGATGCTATTTGGAACATTTTCACATCATACTGTATGAACCACTAGGTTTTATAATATATCAGGTTCATTAACATATTTTATAATGACAAAAAACTGTATGCAAAATACATTTTTACTAGTGGTATCAGACATTTGGGCCCCACTGTTTATTTCTAAATGCGGAGATATTTCAATAATCGTTTAACAGAATCTTGTCTAATGTTCTTTAGCAATAGCTCTTTCTAATGTCAACCATATACTAGTTTATAAATATATACTGGCAATCATAACGCATTACCACATCGAGTTGGCGTAACATGCTGCCACTCACCATGCACTGGCACTGCTGGCAGTTCTCCACCCAGGTCTCTCCGTTACTGTACGCCAGCAGACCGTTCTGATGCAAACACTGAGAACTCAGACGAGGGTCGCATTCAGGACAGCACAACACATCCACCGTGGGATTCTCACAGTCACACACCATCCGTCTACACATCACTAACCCCGACTGAAACAGGACAGAAAGACAAGAGTCTGAGTAAAAAAAAAAAATCAGGTTTCCTTTGACTACAATTCCCATCAGCCCCTTCAGCTCACCTGACAGGAGCAGACCGAGCACCTGTCGTCATCCAGCACCCAAATCTGCCCGTTGTGTTTCACCTTCCCATCATGGGCACAGTCGCCAGTGCAGTTCCTACCGTGCGGACAGCGGCAGTCATAACCTCCGTCAACGTTAAAGCACACGGTGTCATTAGCACAGCTGTGCCGCCCCATCTCACATTCATCAATGTCTACCAACCAGAAACAAAGAAGACACCAATTAAGTCACTTGTTAAATCCAAGGAGTCATGGTTTAGCTGGTTAGCATGATCTTGTTAACTACAACCATGCTAAGTGCAAAATGACTTCCATTCAAAAGAAGCACAGTTTCATTCAAAACAAGTTACCTTCACATGACTCTCCATTGGCTGAGAATATTCCGTTGTCATGGTAGCCATCGCGACACTCGCAGTGATACCAGCCAGGTAGGTTGACGCAAGTGGCTCGACTGTCACACTCCACAAATCCATCGGAGCACTCGTCGATGTCTGAAGAGACAAGGTGGAGACACGCATGAGAAAACTCAAGAAGTGTATGGAAAAAGCACAGGTGAGCACAACTGTGCCTGAATGACGTCAAAAGTTGTCACACATCATGAAATTTTTTTTAAAAATAGTATGAAATATTGTTCAATATGATCTGTTATGGCATTTGAAGTCAGAAAGACGTTTAAAGAGAGTGTGTGTATGTGTGTATACACCCTAGTAAAAACGTAATATATTTAAAATACAGTTATTTCATACTAAGTATAGTTCAAATCTATTTACTGACATATCGCTTGAGACCTGCTGATATCAAAATTATAATTAAACTATTTTAATGTGACTATTGATGAGGATTGTATGATCTTTGAATAATATCAGTCTTTAAATGCAAGATATTTAAAGTGTGTTTGAAGTATACTTGCAATAGTTCCACTTTAGCACAATCAAATATATTTAAGTATATCTTTAGTTGGACTTCAGCACTACTTCTGCACAATTAAAGTGCATTAAGAACAAAATAAGTTGTTCCAGTTTAGCAGACTTTAAGTATACCGGTTTAGTATACTAAAAGTACAATTGCAGCACATTTTTTTATTAAGTACAATAAATATGTAAAGGTATTTGTAGCATACTTAGCATGAAATAAATGTTTTCAAATACATTTTAGTATATTTATTTTTTCTCTAGGGTATATCTATACAGTATCTTTATTAAGTGTGTGTGTGTGTGTGTGTGTGTGTGTGTGTGTGTGTGTGTACACACTTTGTATTTATTTATTTATTCTTTTACATCAAGAGATTTCCAGTTCAAATAAATGTTATTATTTTAGGCTTTCTATTCATCAAAAAATCTTATAAAACATTCTGCACAACTGTTTTCAACATTAATTATAATAATAAATGTTTCTTGAACAGCAAATGAGCATATTAGAATGATTTCTGAAGGATCATGTGACACTGAAGATCGTCTGAAAATTCAGCTTTGCAGAATAAATTACATTTTAAAATAGATTAAAATAGATTTTAAAAAATATTTTAAATTTTGAATAATATTTCACAATATTCCTGTTTTTATAGTATTTTTAAATTAGTAAATAAATGCAGCTATGGTGACCGTAAGAGGCTTCTTTGTGTGTGTGTGTGTGTGTGTGTAAAATATGCTCACAAACAAGAATAACAAAGCAGAAAATGTTCAATTATATACAATGTTTATCTATCACCATAATTTCATTATAAAAATGCCATAAAGTGCATATTCTAATGTTGAGTTATGCTAGAGTGTATTATCCTGTTTCCACAACCTTTTCAAATTGCTAAATGGATGCAAATCTACATAAGTATATTTGATGTTTGTCCTCACACCAGACACAAAGAAAGGGAGACAAATAGTGCTTCTGCCATGGGCGTCTTGAAAGGAGCGTATCCAACAGCTGTTGATAATGATGCTCTTCAGAATCTATTCAACTTTCAGTGCTTGTCCCTGGATTACACTCTCACAGAAAGCTATGCTGAGCGTCCCTCAGATCCAATCAGTTCAATGACAACTTCAACCACAATGGCATACTGGGTGAGAAATGATTTTGTGACTTTAACCTTAGGTTACCACCTAGGTGTTTCACCCCATCTTATTATATTGTGTATTATATTGTATTTCGATGCCAATTGCAATGTCTGACGTGAAGGCAAGGCTGAGTAGAGAGGGTAAAACAAAAACTGACGAATACAGTGTTTTTGTGGGTGTGCAAGAGAGAGGGAAAAAATGTATGTAGCCTTGAGAGTCTTTGTGAAAGAGCACAGAATATGAGAAACCGCCTAAAGGAGCTTGTGAATTAGGTTTGCAAGTGTTGCATTTTCATATTGCACGGGCTGAGAAATCTTTAAAGGGATAGTTCCCTCAAAAATGAAAATTTCAACATCACTTACTCGCCTTCATGTTGTTCTAAATTAACAAAACACAGCATAAAACACCCAATAAAATAGTCAGAAAAGTCCAAAAATTTTAAATTTGATCAAAAATACAGTAAAAACAATAATATTGTAAAATATTGAAGATAAAGATTTTTAAATGTACTTTATTCCTGTGATGGCAAAGCTGAATTTTCAGTCTTCGGTGTCACATTATCCCGCAGAAATCATTCTAATATGCTGTGCTCATTATTTATTATAATCAATGCTGAAAACATAAAATGTTTGTGGAAACCATGATATATTTGCTTTCAGAATTTTGTTCTTTCAAATGAACAGCATGTATTAGAAATATTTTACATCATTATAAATCTCTTTACTGTAATGTTTGATCAATTTAAAAAGGGATATTTCACCCAAAAATGACAATTCTGTTATTAATTACTCACCCTCATGTCGTTCCAAACCCGTAAGACATTCGTTCATCTTCAGAACACAAATTAAGATATTTTTAATGAAATTCGAGAGCTTCTCGTAGCTTCATAACATTACAGTTGAACCACTGATGTCACATGGACTATTTTAACAATGTCCTTACTCTTACTACGTTTTTTGGGCCTTGAACGTGGTAGTTACTTTGCTGTCTATGGAGGGTCAGAAAGCTCTTGGATTTCATTAAAAATATCTTAATTTGTGTTCCGAAGATGAACAAAGGTCTTACAGGTTTGAAATGAAACGAGGGTGAGAATTTTCATTTTTGGGTGAACTATACCTTTAATGCATCCTTGCTTAATAAAAGTATTACATAAAAAAAAAAAAAAAAACAGATATTAAAACGTTTAAACCTTTACTCTGTCACATTTGTTTTTATTCAAATATTGCACATTAAAATGCTTAACACTGGACATTTGCACATTTACAAAATTCATATTATATTAATTAAAATTGGGTTCATTATCGTATAGGGTCATTGTTAATTTGGGTCTATAAACAATAACAGAACATTCTTTTTTGGGTGAACTGTCCCTTTAAGAGAACCTTCTGCAGAAACATTTGATAAGAAGCGGAATGTCTGATGTGAGAATTTTTCATGCAAAGGTTCTGAATATTTTTCACTCCTCTGACTAAGATTTCCACACTTTTTCTAAAGATTTCACTTGCCTAACACTAAATCCCTCATCCCTCCAAAACAAAAAGCGGCGAAAATAACACAAACAGTGCTGAATAATACATAGATGTAGGCAGTGCTGATGACATTTATTCATTTTCTTCCTTGAGCACAAACACACACTGCACTCATCTCCCTCAGAGGAACGGCTGGCATTTGTGCTGTCAGTAAGCAGTAGCGAGTATTGATTGACTGTGTATTCACGGGCAAACCCCCAGGGTTCCCGCTGTCCTGCAGCCCTGCCACTAATTTGTCACGGAATGTCACAAGTCGACGTCACAACACACAGTCTCCATCTCATTTGTTCCATCTTCAACATTTGGGATCCTCATATATTTCCATTTGTTTGCAGCAGTGAGGTTTGCTCAAGGTCAGTTTAAAGGAATAATTCACTCAAAAATGAATATTTGCTGAAAGTTTACTCACCCTCGGACAATCCAAGATGTAAATGAGTTTGTTTCTTCATCGGAACAGATTTGGAGAAATGTAGCATCATCACTCATCAATGGATCCTCTGCAGTGAATGGGTGCCGTCAGAATGAGAGTTCAAACTGCTGTTAAAAACATCATAATAATCTACAAGTAAACTCCAGTTCATAAATTAATGTCTTGTGATGGGAAAAGCTGTGTGCTTATGAGAAGCAAATCCATCATCAAGGCCTTTTAACATTAGACCATCAAGTTCATAATTCATAATATTGCTTCCTCCAGTGACAAAGTCCATTCCCTGTTGTTCTCTCACTCCAAAATCCACCAACATATTAGTTTTGAACTGTTTTGGATGGTTATAAATGGTGCTTGATCTCTGCATATTTCTCTCCTGATTCAGATAAGACAGCTTTTTCACTGGAGAAAGCAATATTATTAATATCATGGTCGTATTTGAGTACTGTAGGAAACAATGATTTGAAGATAAAAACGTCTTAATGATTGATTGGTTTCTTTCAAACACACATCTGTTCACCTCACATGACATTTATGAACTGGAGTTGTATGGATTACTTGTGGATTAATGTGATGCTTTTATCAGTCGTTTGGACTCTCATTCTGACGGCACCCATTCACATCAGTGAGAAAGTGATGTAATGCTAAATTTCATATTTTTTCATTTTAGGGTGAACTGTTCCTTTAAGGGCGCAGATTCTTTTGAGATAATCAAGAGGATCAGGGTATATAATTTACTACCAGAACAGGCCGAACACTTCCCGAGTCAAAGTGCCAAGTAAAACAGATTATCCAATCCCATGAGCGCACTCGGGAATAGTTATGGTTCCACAGTGGAATCCTCAAGTCAATTTCATCAGGGACGATTCTTCAAGAGGCAAGTCATCAATCCACTCAGTCCCTTAATGTCCCGGCTGTTCCCACCCCAGCTATCTCCTTCATCTGCCCTGCTCTCGTTTTTTCCCCCCTTGCCTTCATCCTCCCCCTCTATCCTCACACTAATGAACAGATTCACACCCACTGCTGGTTCTCACTGGGGAGCTCAGTACTGTAGAAGGGCCTCGATGCAAACGAGAGTGTGTGCATGAAAGCCTGGTCCCATTCTCAAACAAAGTCTGCCCCTTTTTTTGAACAGGAAGTTCAAACGCGCACCTTTTCTTATTGAGAAGGCAGATAGCAGATTCTCAGAGCTTCCTCGATAAAAGTGGCTATTCAGAGGAAAGTATTATCTTTAAAGTCGATGTGAATTGCTGTTCGCAAACCATTTTATTGGAGATGGCATTTTAGAGATATTCAGTGAGAAAAAAGGTTTCTTTGGAATAACACGAGCCCTTAGAAAGTAAATACTGTTGACTTTAACTGAATACAATGGATTTGTTTTTCCTGTTTATTTTTCTGACCCATTACCATTTTTTTTTAATAAATTAAAATATATAATAAAATGACAAAAAATATCAAAATAAAAAACTTTTTAAATTTACATTTCA